CGAGTGGCTTGATGACAACCAGAATGCCGATGAGGAAGACTTTGAGGAGAAGCTCAAGGAGTTCGAGGCTGTTTGCAATCCTATCATCACGGCTGTATATCAAAGGTCCGGTGGAAGTGCCGGCGGTGCTTCAACAAGTGAAGAAGAAGATGATTCGCATGATGAACTCTAGAAAAAGAATCTATAATGAAAAAGAAAGAAAGACGAGAACATTAGAATTTAGGTGAAATGAGATGATCTACTAATTTTGGTAGAAGTTTTTTTTTTATTAAAAAAAGGCTTAAATTCCAAATAAGTGCCCAAATTATCTTTTTTTTTTGTCAAATAAGTGCCACGGTTCTATTTTGTCCATTTGGATGCCTAAAATTACCCTTTTAGATGTCAATGTCGTCAACGCTGTTAGTGACATGTGTTAACACCTGATAATTTTAAAATTTTTATATAAAATTTTAAAAATAAAATATATTTTTTTTGAAAAAAATTAAATTTTGAAATAACTCCAAAACTTTGAAAACTTTCATTTCACGTCGATCGCCGCCTTTTACCATCGAAGAAGATCCACTCGCCCTCCACTCCTACGATGACCATAAGATATTGTTAAGATAAAAATCAATGTTTTTATCTCACGAATCATAAGATAAAAATCGTGATCCCACATTATTTCGACGGTTAATCGGCAGCAACTACGACGACATATAACTAGGTTAATGTCAAGGATTACGTCACCAATGACAGTGATGGCCAAAGAAGGCTCCGTTGACGGATTATGATTAGGATTTAGTATTTTGGGTTTAGGTTTAGGGACAAAGTACTTTAATGAAGCATTTTGGTATAACATATTGGACAGTTATCGCTTACCGGCGGCAGTTTCATAATGCAAATCAAAGCCCCAAAGTGAAAGGCACACCGGTGGTAGGCAGCCAAGAATTCCCGTCGATAAAATTACCGACCGTAAACTCCGACGCCTCGGTTGCATTGGTAAGAACATGATAACCTTTCCAATTGACTCTATTGGAGGTGGAGGAACCGGGGCCGGTGTTCATTTACTCGGCATAGTACAGCGTGTTGAGAGCGAAATTAGTATTATTCCATTCCATCCAACCGGCTGGGTCTATTAGGGTATCCAGGAAGGTTTTGATGATAACAGTCCTGGAATATTGTTTCCATGGCCTCCCTACGTACGTTTTGACAGAGGCTTGCACCGGTTTTAAATCCGAGGCTGCGGTAATTGTTGAGTTGTGTATTCTAATTCCAGAGGTGGTGTTGTTGACCTCAGACCGGCCTTGGGCGGTCACGACATTGATTTTACTAGGTGGATTCCGGGCATATATGTTAGCAGTTTTGTAACACAGCAGTTGCGTTGCCAAATATGAAATCTACGGTTCCGTAGATGTCACATTCCCTGTAAAATTGTTTGTTGGCATGGACACAGAGAGAGCCTTGGTACCCTTCAAAGCTGCATCTGTAGAACACCGAGTGATCGGATCCCGAACGGAGAGCCACCGCCTGTCTGTTATTAGGACCGGCGGTGTTTCTGAACGTAATGTCACGACCAATGAAAGCGTCTCCATCAACAGCTGAAATACACATCAAATCACATCAATGTAGTTGTTGATTTATTCACGCTGTTTTAGTTTTGGAAACACTTGGTATTTATTATACTATTTAGCATCAGATTTCCTCTACTAACATTACGTGCATTTTCCGAAATGATTTTATAGCAGCAAGAAAACCATTCGAAATTTTACTCATCAACAGTGGCTGTATTGTACGTATGGGTTCCTCCTCCAATGCTTTTGTTCCCTGTGATAATAGTTTTACCTATACCATTGCCCACCATCATAATATTTTTCAGATTGCCTCCTATCTCAACGTTCTCACTGTACGTACCAGCTTTCACGTATATAACGTAGCTTCCACTCCCGGACCGGCTCGAAGTGGCCGATATCACCTCATTTATCGTGTTATAATTCCCCAAACCAATTTGCGCTAAGACGATATCTGCTTGAGATGCCAACGACGATGACGACTACAACGGCTTCCAGTCACCGGGTTTCACCCATGTGGGGAACCCATCTTTGTACGCCGGTTCCTTGTAAGGTACTTTGTTGAGAGCCATGGCGTTACTGATTAGCTCGGACACGTTATTCGACATCATGGAAGGTAATCGGATACACTGAGTTCGATAAAGTGGTCCCGACACGTTTCGGGGTAGGTTAAAAAGCCGCGCTGAGCCATGTTTGACGGTCGTGTTTCTTCACGTTGGGGCTGAAGTCACCAACTTCGTTGAGACTAAGGATGGCTAGCTCATAGAGCTTTAAACAACCGGACCATGCAGCCTTTTCGAGCTTGTTTCGGAACTTGGGACCCAATGAATGTACGTTGCTTTCGGCATGAATGGCATCCTCTAAGGCCAGTTGCATGGAGATTTTAATGAAATCAGCCTCATCTTTGATTGGCCTACTTTCATGAGCATTGCTCAAATAATACTCGCACGGCACTGGATTCGGAGTTTTGCCGCACCACCATCCCACATCGTTTGGTCCTATACCCTAACACGACAGTTGAAACAAAACAAGAAACAATCAAGAGTGCTATGAAGATTTGAGGATGTGTTATGCCATGAATGATGTTATTTTACAACTCTCTATTTTTACTTCTTGTAGAGCAACAATACACTACAACTAGCATTTATAGGCCTATTATATTGATTTTATAAGCTTTTTATCTTCATTAAATGTCAGAATATTAAAAGTTTATTTTACATTATTAGATTTTGATACGTTGGCGGTGATTTTGTTTCTATATTTATATATGCAGTTTACTTTTTTAAGTAATTGGTCTTTCTATAAAAGTCGATAAATCCGTGAATTTATATATATTTGATATTATATAAATATAATTGGATTCTCAGATTCTATTCTCCTAGAATTTAGGAATGCCGTAATTAATCTCTCACCATAGCTAATAAAAGATAAACAAAATTAAGATCGCGATTCCTCACCGATAAGGAAAAAACAGATAAAGTATTATTTATATACTACCCGAATTTAGGAAAATTTTTACCTGGCCTGAAACTAACTTAAATTTTAAGGTAAAAACCTGCATCTAATATTATCCTTCAATATTTAGAGATAGGATATAATAATAATTACCTTTAAATACATAGAGATTAACTCTAATATTATTCTTGGGTCAAATATTTTTATCGTAAATTCAAAATCGACCGGACTTTATCCTTAAAAAAAAATAACCCCAATCTGAATCTCTTTTTCAAATAAAATCGATTTCAAAGTCGGATAGAGACGAAACTCTTCAAATTCAAGTTACATATTCATCCCAAATATCATATATACTAAATATATTAAAAAATAAATAGCAAAAGTAACTAAAACCTAAAAGGGGACTGAACCATTGCAAATTTAGGAAGAATCACGTGAACAAAGTCATTTCAATTTTCTGGTGGATTTGTGGATGAGTTACAGTGGGATTTAAACTTGCTCCTCTACTTCGACTGGATGGCTAGAATGATGAAAAGATAAAAGGCTTAATGCCCAAATAAATGCTCAAACTATGTATTTTGAGTCAAATAAGTGTCAACTTTTTTTTTCATTCGGGTGTCTAATATTACAAACGTTAGTACTTTAGATGTCTGAACCATCAACACCGTTAGTTCTCCCTGTTAAATGACACGTGTCACAACTTGATAATTTTAAAATTTAATAGTTATAAAAGATATTATTATATTTATAAAAAAACTTAACTTTTCTTATATTATAAAATAACCCTAAAATCCCAAATCCTAACCTTAATCTACCGTCGCTACCCTCTCCGACCACGACCACCGCCGCCGACGTAGTCATTACCATCATCCTAGTTATATACCCCTGTAGTTGTGGCCAATTAACCATCAGAATCATGTGAGATCACAATTTTCATCTTAGGGCTTATGGGATTTAAAACGTCGATTTATCATTGATCGGTCATCAACCGATCACGATTTCATACTGGTTTTGGTCACCGGGAGAAGGGGAGGTCAGGTGGAGCTTTTCCGACAGCAAAAGACGACTCTCGACGTGGATTTAAGGGTTGAAATGAAATTTTTCAAAGTTTAAGGGTTATTTCAAAATTTATATGTTTGCTTTTTTTTAAAATATATAATTTATTTTTATTAATTTCATATAAAAATTTTAAAATTACCAACTTAGGCACATGTCACTTAATGGGAAAAACTAACGACGTGGTCAGTCCGAGCAACTAAAGTGCTAACGTTTGTAACGTTAGGCATCCGGATGGACCAAAAAAATATAGGCACTTATTTGGTAAAAAAGGCATAGCCTAGGCACTTATTTGGGTATTAAGCGAAAGATAAAAGAAACTTTAAAGATATATATATATTGATTTGCTATGATATTGATCTATTCATGGCCAATCCAAAACTTCATTCTAAACTATTTTTTTTATCAAAACTATTTTAAAAATCATATAATAACTAAGCTTTTTTTTTCTTGAATTAGTACTCATGTACCAAATAGAATATGTAACTGGGCAGCACTTTCATCTTTCATTAATGCTCTATGTCATCTAACGACCAGAAGAACACAGCTAAGGATCCAAAAACAACAAAACCAAGTTCTTATGAGACAGAAAATCCCCATGTGGGTAGCCAATTAGGTATTGGTGGGGTACGTAATAAGTTTTCATCATATATTGTGGTTGTTGCTTACATTCTTGCTCCATTTCCGGCCATTCTGCAAATGTATATGGTAGTTGCTTGTCTCACCCGCATAAATATGGCCGGTGACTACGAGAGAGAACTATTTCCATTGACACACACATACACATACGTACATATAAGATATACACTGATTCAAAAGATCACAAATTCAAGCAGAGAATGAGAAGCTGCTACAGAAGAAGCATAGTCTAACATGGTTATAACTAGGTTTGAGTTGCAACAGGAACTAAAACAATAACGGCAAAGAACAGAAGCAAAAGGAGAAAACAAATGTGCAGAATTCTGTAATTCGATAATTATAAATCAAGGTTGAACATTCTAAATTGCTGATTTTTTTCAGCACTGCCAGTGTCACGAACCGTCACTCTCAAATGAAGAGTAAGTGCAGGCAATACATCATAGTAATATGATCTCATTACTTACTTGGTACAGGGAGTTTGGCAATCAGCCGCTTGTTTCGAGCAGAAATGTAAAGTACCTCAGATCCCTAAATATTGCAAGAGTTGAGGAAAATTTTAAAAAGAATCGGTTAAAGCAATTAACAAAAAAAACGAAAGAAAGAAGGCAGAGTTGTACTAAATCTTGTTGTGCAGGTTGACCACCAAGTCATGGGCATCATCCAGAAGCTTCCAGACATCCAGTTGTCCGGCCATACTATTACATTCTCTCATTATCTCATCCATGCTGATGTACATCTCTATGATTTGCTTCCTCTTTTGCAAAACGCATGCTGCGATTGCGTAAAGCAAAAGATCATCGGTAGGTGGAGGTCTAAGTCTCATCCTCCCCCAACCAGTCTTTGTAATACCAGCACGAATCGCTGCCTGGTCTGCCCAAACCACTTCCCAGAGGCAAAGAGTCTGCTCAAAGGTTAACTCCCTCCTGAAAAGTACTACAACCATTCTATACACAAAGAAGCAGTCCTCTGCTTGAAGCTCCTCCAGATGTTTATATAAATGAATATCCTTACACCTGATAATCTTGGACACAATGTTCAACTGTCTTCTAATGCCCACTTCGTCAAGTCGGAAATTGTGACGAGCTTTTTTCATGAAACCTGCAAAGCACCAGAAAGCTAAAAAGTCATCCTCTACCACTGAGATAATTGGAGAGAGCAGATCACTCATTCCTTGGCAGTAACCTATCTCAGGATCGTAAAGGGTATAGGCCTCAAGTATAGCAACCAGCCGAGCAGCATGATAAATCCTGCATGGCTCTAGGTGATCATATTCCTTCAAGTCAACACTCTCAGCCAACTGTTGTACTTTGATTTCTGATACTGAAGCCTGAGATGAAGCATAAGCAATCCATTCATCATTTGCTCTCACTGCATCAACACGGATGATTCTCTGCCAAGTGGAAAAATCTTCATCCGCCTGGGGTTTGGACCTGCCTTTTATCAGGGTAGCAGCAGAGGTATCATTCTCATGTTCACTGATACTATTTTCCTCGGTTATCTCTGAGGCAAAGAGGGGTGTGTTCTCAAGTTCTTCAGAGGAGTCAGAATCAGAGGATTCCCTCTCACCAGTACAACCATCCTCACAAGTAATTGCACTCTTATCAGTATCCCCCTCCAAAACTGAATCAGAAGATTGAAGGGTTTGACGACTTTGATCACGCAGAGGGCGATCAGAATCATCAACCTCAGGGCTTTCTCCCTCAGTGGAATCAGGCCTTCTACCACTAACCACATCCTCTAAGCCTAGAGAATCAACAACTTGACCCAAATCCTCACTGTCTTCATTGCGGTCGTTTCCAGCAGTTTCCTTTGCCTTACAGCTATTCTCGAACTCGATACGTTTATGAATTTGGTTACACCATTTCCGCAAGCTTTCAAACTCTTTCCTGTATCAGAAAGAAGTAAACAAATAAAAATCTAAAAAGTTTTTTTTTGTGGGGGGGGGGGGAAGATAGAAAGAGAAGCATAAGGAAGAAGGTAACAGTAAGAAAGAATTGGCTGTATTTTGAGGAAGCACAACAATGAAAATAATTTCACCTTTTCCGTCTTCTAACGGATTCTCTTTCTTCCTTTGAACTGTTGATGTCATATCTGTTAAGCATGCAGACATCACAGTTAGTTGGTGACCTGGTTTAACCAGTCAGTTATGATCCACATCTAGACTGTTTTCCAGAAAAGTAATTAATATGACAAAATTCCAGGTAAGTAACTAATAAGTCCATAAAGGGCCAAGATATGATGGGAAGATGAAACAATGATTCATTAGAAAAAGAAATCAGGCCACTAGCCAGTAATCCGAAAGGAACGATCTAACTTAGAGGTTTAAGAGTTACAAGAAACAGGAAGGTATATTTGAGGCAAGGTATAAAGTTATAGATGAAGAGTAGAAGTATACGGATCTTACACTCCAAGGAGGAATGGCCATACCTCTGCTCTAATACTTGGATCAACACCCTGCATTCAAGATGAAAGAACGATATCTCAAACAACATATCCCTGAATAAGACTAAGCCAGATAAAGGAGAAGGCAAACAAGTCTGGGACTATATTAAAAACATACTCCACTTCGAACTTTCTTAAGAAACTTGACACCACCATCACTAAGTTTACCATCCTCTGTGAATAAACTTTTCCATTGCTTAGGTTGAAGTGGATGTTTTCTTCTTCTATGGGACCAGGGCGATTTTAGGCTACCCCTACAGAAAGAAACAAAATTACAAACTCTTTTTGATCAAGATAATCATAACTGGAAAAAATAAGTTAAAAGAAATTTAACAGGAAATAAATATGAATAGCAGTTCTTATCATTTGGCATAAAAACATAAAACAACAGGTATTCATTTTTGTTAGTGCATGATTTATGAAATACACTATACAAGCCCATACACCTATAGAATAGTTATGCATCACATGAAGCGAAACTTATGAAACACCCAACTGAGTAATGCTAATAGCTGAGAAGATACATAGAAGAGTCGAGACAAGTAAGCAAAAAGCCTCAACTATTCTGCAAATAGTATTGATTGAAGTAATTGCAGTCACTAAGAGGGTCTGTAACTGTTGCAAACAAAGATGAGAACAAGCATCAATCACAATACAACGGCAACAACTAAATATCCTAATGAATAGCTATGATGAAGCACAATTAACTTACAAATCATGACTAATATTACACTTTAAATGAAAATTGTGATAACTATCTCGGATTTTGATCAGCACTATGAAACTTGAGAGAATAATTACGACAGCAGACCAGCATGATCAACATCAGAAATGAATAGTTAAAGCTTTCAAATAATAACCACATTCAGAAACTACTGATAGAGGAAGAAAATATGAGATAGGAATGGAGCTCCTATTAGCAACTTAAGGATTATTCAACTACAGATGAAGATCTAAGAACAACAAGAATAATAGAACGAAAATTAAGGGAGGAAATGGAGGTAAAATTAGAAACTATAAATCCTGGCAAATATTACAAGATATGTAGAAATGTAAGAAAATTCAACAATCAGCTGGAACTAATGAGGACAATGAATGACAATTGAGAAGATAAAGAAGATTTAATTATTCAACGGCGATGTTGAGGACGATGATGGCAACGAAGATGTTTGACTTTGACGTTGTATCCTGATCAACGGTAATTCGATCAGTTTATTCGGTAACCATATTAAAATACATTCAAATTACCTAATTAACAAAAACAATCAATCTAAGCTGCGAAATCACGGCCGCGATTAAAAATGAGAATGAAGCTACAATTTTCGAGAAAAAAAATTTGATTCGTGATTCCTTACCTTCGAGAATAAACGATGCTGGCGGCGAGGGCGATACCGGCCATGGCAGTGACGGCGATGGCAACGCCAGAAGGCGAAACCACAGTGTAATAAGACCAGAAACCGCCGCCGCCGCCACCACCGACGGTACTAGCTTCCGCGAATAAGATCCATTTCTTAAAACCTGCAATGCCGTCGTCGGTTAAGAGAAACAACATGAAAAAGGCGATGTAAGGTAAGCCGATGGTAAAGCCTAAGCCGCTGAGATCCCGACTCGAATGTCTCCTCTTCTCCGACTCGTTCTTCTTCTTCTTCCGGTATCCAGAGCGGAAGAAAGCACTAACCATCACCAAACGGAGGAAACCGCTTGGGCCTTCTTCTTCTTTATTTCATCTGAGAATTTTTGTTTGAATTTTTTGGATGATTATTTATTTATGATTACTATCATTATATTCAATTGAAAGCTTTTGCACGCTTTTGCACGCTTTTGATGAAACGCAGTAAATGGTATATAGTAATAAGGAAATATTTCTTTACCTTTCATTATCGATTATAGACTGTGAACGAGAGAAAAAGAGAAAAGGTGGCTGAAAGTGTTCGTTAAAAGCAGATGGCATGCTTGTGGCAACTTCTGGGCCTCTTAGCTCAGCCCAGTTTTCCTAATTTTGCTTATACTATTTTGGATAAACTACGCATTTAGTATTTAAACTATCAGTTTTTATTTATTTTAGTATCTAAAGTTTTAATTTTTTCCAAAACCATACCTAATGTTTAGTTTTTATTTCATTTTTACACCTCACCGTTAAAACATTAACGTGTTTAGTACCTAAACTATCAGTTTGTCTGTTTAAGTAGTTGAACTTTCAAATTTTTTAAAAAAATTAACATTAAATTTTAAAAAGGGTACTAAAATGAAACAAAAATTAAACCTTAACTATGGTTATGAAAAAAATTTAAAAGTTTAAGTACTACAACGGACGAAACTAATAGTTTAGGTATTATACATAATTTATCCTATGATTATTCATTTTATATATGGGTTATATTATAACATCTCTGTTGATGGATCACATTATATGTTAAATTCGATAATTTTAATATAAATGAAATTTTATTCAAAAATTTGGTTAAGATGAGACAAAATTAAGAATGGTGAAATTTTATGAATTTAATAAGTTTTAATACGATTTGATCTTACAAAATTAAGGATTTTTAAATTTAGGTTTGATTTGAGTTTAAGTCTATGATAAAAATCTTTGATTTAAATGAATTATAGATAGTATTATAATTTTCATTTATAAATTTAGGTATAAATACTATAATGTTTTTTTTATATATTTTTCAATTATCTCTATTTTATTAAATGAAAAAACATTTGTGTCCATTAGATTTTTACCCTTCAAGAAGAAAAAAAATTGAGCCATGTACCTTCCTAAACTTAGTTGAGTGTCAAACGTGAAAATTATGCCATATTGAAATATATGGTTTGGGTTTCTGTCTTCACCCTTGAAGATCACTTTGTTTCTTTCTTTCTTTCCATATTCCCCAAATCATGGTTGAGAAAATTATGCCCCACGATAAACTATCAAAAGTTTTTTTCTCTCGGATATACCGTCCTTTAGTAACCAGACTTCAAAACCATTTGCCTCTACCAAGCTCAGCTTAAAATGACTTTTCGTGATTTCTTAGACACTCTTTGCCATTATACAGTGCTTCAAAATATGTTCTATTGATTCACGCTCACCTTGACAGAAGGGCAAGCTAATTCCATCGTCATTTTTTCCTGTTGCGAATTTCATTTGCATTCGGTCTTGTTTAAAACAGAAAGCCAAATGAAAGTTTGGATTCTTTCTGTTGTTTTCAACTTCTAAACCCACTTGTAGCTTCTACTTGTGACATATTCTCTGGTACAATTTAAAATATCTTTGAAGGTCGAACTTAGAATGACCCATCTTTTGAGTGACTCCATATTGGTTCATCCGAGATATTACTAGTATTACCATCTAACTTGATTTCCCCACTAAACTTGTCTAACACATTTTGGGGGAAGTAATTGATTCAGCGTCTGGAAATTTCATTCTTGTACAGTACGTATGCAATTCGCCATATTTTTCATTCTATGAATTGTATCAATCTCTGGGTGAAGGTCTTTGAGGGGAATTTATCTATCCACCAATCATATCAGAATTTCACTTTTCCCCTGAATTTATTCTCCATTTACATCGCTTCTTAATAATAAATTTGGTCTTCAACATACCTCTACAAGCATTCAAACAATTTGCATTATCTTTGCACTCCAGAACATCTTTTCTTTCCATGTACTTCTCCTCGAATATTTTACACCAGATAGCCTCTTTTTTTGCGTGAATTCTCCATCCGTTTTTTCACCATTAGGGCTAAATTCATGTCTCTTGTTGTTTTTAAACCCAGTTCGTCGTCTGTTTTCATTGTGCATACAGTCTTCTAATTTACTTGGTGGTTTCGTTTGTACTTTGTCTCCCCGCTCCATAGAAAGTTCATGTTTAGTTTATCCAATTTATTCAAAGTCGAGGTTGAAAGAAGTGTTGACTGCATTGTATGTACATGTATTGCAGCAGTAACGATTTGGATCATTGTTTTTCTTCCAGCTAAAGATATAATTCTTCCTTTCCAACCAGCTAATTTCTTCATTAATTGTTCTGTCAGATGGCTATAAGTGTTGGATTTAATCTTCTTGTGTATAATCAGGACTCCCAAGTAAGTTCCTCAATCGTTCGTTCGAGGAATTTCTTCCATTGAGGCAAGATATTACGCAATCTCTTCTGGAATATTTGGGGAAATAAAGTTTCTCGATTTTGAAGGTTTAGTTTCAGATCTGAAGCATCGCTGAATTTCTTTATGCAATCTTGTGTTTTCCACACTTGGTTAGCATTTGTTTTCATAAAAAGTAGTAGGTCATCTACAAAAAAGAGATGACTTCTTAAACAATCGCTTCATAAAGGTTATTCTTTTTCCTATTCCAAGTAGTTTTTCTTTTTCCTATTCCTAGTAGTTTTGAAAATGGCGCTGAAGTCATCGTGGGATAGCGACATAACCTCAAAACGAAAAGGTCTTCTATTCTTATCCATAGGAAGGTCAGGTCTGGTGTTAAAGATGATTGGGTGATGATCAAAATATCTTCTTATTAATGTCATAGCTCTTATAAAGGAGGAAAATATCAAAGGTCGCGGTGTTATGAAGAATTATATTCAGACGTTCCTGAAGGGCAATAGTCCCATAATGACTTCTAACCCAGGTATATTTCTTTTCAGTCCAACCAACATCGATTAAGTTTCAATTATCCCATCTTTCTCTAAATTTGATGATGTGTTCTAAACGGTCAGAATCACTTCCCTTGCGCTCTTTCAAAGAGGTAATATCGTTGAAATCTCCCATTATAATCCAAGGTTGATTTGAAGAATTTGAATAGTTGAAAAGGTCTTTCCAAAATTCCTCTTGAACATAAGCAAAGCTCATACACCAGTGTTCTCCTCTCTCATTGAAAATACAATAGATAGCTTGATTAGTATTGTACTGTTATGAACCGTATAGAATTCAAGAAAAGAATTAGGGATTTAGAGAAATTAGAGAAGATAGATTTAAGAGAAAAGATGATTTTTCATTAAATTTGCCAGAATAGAATCTCCCGATTACATTTGCTCGTTATATTCTTCAGTACAAAAATCTAACAACTTATTCTGTACAGCTGGATTTCATAACTGATTGTGGTCACGTGCTTGGTTCCTCTTCAACAGATCAGAACTGGTGGATCATTGCTTGTTGGGCCCTATTCTTCAGTTCCAGCCCGTTCTCTGTGGATATCACCACTCGGGTCTTCTGCTCCAAATGGCTATTCGATTCTCTTGCTCCAGGTAATATCTCATTTCCCCCAAATTTGCCACGATTAATCCCTAGCTTTTCAATAGAAATCCCTAACATTTCCTCTTTTTTCTCCACGCACATAACATTTCCCTCCCCTTCACCTGATCCTTGTCCCCAAGGATCGAAATCTGAAAACTGGGATTTCAACACAGCATAATCCTCCCAAGTGGCGTTTTCTTCTCCCAAATTCGACCACTGGATCAGAAGTTGTGTGATTACCTTGTTTTGTCTCTTCACTATCCTTTTGTTAAGCACGATGGTCGGATAAACCTTCATCTGCCCATCCTCACTAAGTTCAGGAGGATTCTTAGAGGTAATTGTTCCTTCACCCACTTTCTTCTTCAGTAAACTCACATGAAAAACTGGGTGGATTTTTGAATATGCTGGCAATTCCAGTTGATACGCTACTGACCCAATTCTTTTCTGGATTTTGTAAGGTCCATAAAATTTTGCTGCAAGTTTCAAGTTTCTTCTAACAGCTACGGATGATTGCTTGTAGGGCTGTAATTTAAGGTAAACCTCATCTCCTTCCTGAAATTCCCGATCACTTCTGTTTTTATCTGCATTTTATTTCATTCGATTCTGAGCCTTAGCTAAGTTCTCCCTAAGTAGTCTGTGTAGCTGTTCTCTTTTCCCCATTATCTCTTGTACTGCATTGACACTGGTATTAGTCTGCCAATTAATCATAGGAGGCTTGTATCCATACAAGGCTTCAAAAGGTGTAACTCCTAGGGTTGTATGATAATTAGTATTATACCACCATTCAGCCAGTGGTAAATATTTTTCCCAATTACCAGGTTTAAGGAAACACATACTTCTCAAGTATTGTTCCAAACACTGGTTTAACCTTTCAGTCTGCCCATCTGTCTCTAGATGGTAGGTTGTACTGAAAAAAGTTGTAGTTCCAAGATGCTTCATCAATTCCTTCCAGAATAAGCTTGTAAAGGTTTTATCTCTGTTTGATATAGCTATCTTAGGTGGTCCATGCAATTTATATACTTGATCCAAATAGATCCTAGCTATCTCAGTCACTGTGTATGGATGAGCTATGGCTAAAAAATGGCCATATTTAGAGTACTTATCCACTATCACCAGGATGCAATTAGATTTCATTGACTGTGGCAATCCTTCAATAAAATCCATGGTAATAACTTCCCATGCCTGATTAGGAATAACAATAGGTTGTAACAAACCTGGAATTGCCACATTATCCCCCTTTGTTCTTTGGCATACTTCACACTTTTTCACATAAGATTTAACTTGACTTTTCAAGCCTTTCCAATAGAAATAAAGTTTAATTTTGTAGTATGTTGCTTGTACTCCAGAATGTCTCCCTTGAGGAGAATCATGCAAACACTCCATGATTTTCTTCCTTAAAGTTCCATGTTCCCCAATATAAACCTTGTTCTTATACCTTAGCACTCCTTTAACCAACTTCCAATCAGACTCTATATTAGAGTTAATGGTTAAGCCTGTAATAAATTTATGAGCTAAGATATCTCCCTTATAACTGTCCTCAATTTCTTTTACCCACTCAGGAATCAGTATAGTGGTAGTCATCTGCATACACTCTCCTGTTTCTTCAACCTTTTCAACCTCCTTATCATCTTCAAATCTTCTTGACAAAGCATCTGCCACTACATTCAATCTGCCTTTTCTATAATGTATAACGTAATCCAAACCCAACAACTTAGATAATCATTTTTTCTGAATTGTATTGGTCAATTTCTGCTCCAGTAAATGTTTTTAAAGGTTCATGGTCTGTTTTGATTATAAAAAGACCATTTTCTAGGTAGTGTCTCCATTTAGATACAACCATGAGTATGGCTATATATTCCTTCTCATAAATAGACAGTTACATATGCCTTGGTCCCAAAGCCTTACTCAAATAAGCTAATGGTCTGCCTTCCTGTGTCAAAACAGCCCCAATTCCTTGTTGACTTGCATCAGTTTCCAAACAGAATGTCTTACTAAAATTTGGAAGAGCCAATACATGAGCTTCACACATAGACTGCTTCAATTTCTTAAAAGATGCTTCTGCTTCATCATTCCAATTAAAAGCTCCCTTTTTTAGTAAATTTGTCAATGGTTTACTGAGTTCTCCATATCCCTTAATAAACTTCCTATAATATCCTGTAAGTCCTAGGAAGCCTCTCAAAGATTTGAGATTCTTTGGAAATGGTCATTTTTGCATTGCCTCCACCTTGGTAGGGTCAGTAGAAATTCCATTTGCTGTTATTACATACCCCAAATACTCCACCTTGTTCTGTCCAAAGAAACACTTACTTCTTTTTGCATACAATTAATTTTTTCTCAAGATCTCTAAGACCACCTTCAAGTGTTGCTTATGATCATAGAGATTAGGACTGTACACCAAAATATCATCAAAAAATACTAACACAAACTTCCTCAAATATGGACCAAATAAATCATTCATTAGTGCTTGAAAAGTGGCAGGTGCATTGGTTAAACCAAAGGGCATTACCTTGAACTCATATTGTCCATGATGTGTCTGAAATGTTGTTTTGGGGATGTCCTCTTCTTTGACTCTTATCTGCCAATATCCTGATCTCAGATCTATTTTAGAAAAATAGGAAGTCCCTTCCAATTCATCCAACAAGTCTTCTACTACTGGAATTGGAAATTTGTTCTTAATTGTCACAACATTTAATTGTCTATAGTCCACACACATTCTCCATGTTTCATCCTTTTTCTTTACCAATAAAAAAGAGAAGTAAAAGAACTCTTACTGGTTTGAATAATTGAAGCAGACAACATCTCTTTAATCTGTTTTTCAATTTCTGCCTTCTGTGGATGTGGAAATCTGTATGGTCTAAGATTTACTGGTTGAATTCCTTCCTTAAGAATCACTGCATGATCATGACTTCTAGCATGGGGCATTCTCTTAGGTTCTTCAAAAACATCTTGATACGCCTCTAATAGGGTTTGTAATTCTTCTGGAAATTTGGATTCAACTACTTCCATACTCAGAAAATAGGCTTCTCCTATCACTTCTGGTTCTTTAACAGTAATTTGTTTCATCTTAGATTCTGAAATCAATTTCATATAAGAACCTGTTTGTTTTCCTTCCAATTTAATCTCCTTTTCTCCCACTTTTAAAACCATAGTCATCTCTTTAAAATCCATAAGAACTGGACTATATTGACTCATCCAATCCACTCCTAACACCATATCACTTCCCCCCATATTCAAAACTCTAAAATCATACTCAAATGCATTTCCTTGCATTTTCCAACTCAGCTTGTTACTCTTAGCATTGCTGAATAATTTCTCTCCATTAGCAACTGTAATAGCTAAATGATGAGTTTGTTCCACTTCCATTCATTCCTTTACCCATCTAGGAGTGATGAAATTGTGTGTGCTTCCACTATCCACCAAAATATTCAGTGATTTTTCTTTAATAATTCCCTGAAGTCTTAGAGTATTATGTCCCACACTGCCAGTAAGAGCATTAATGGAAATCTCCAAAGTCCCTTGTCCCTTATCATCAGCTTCTTCCTCCTTGTCTCCTTCCTCATCTCCCTCTATATTTTCTTCCTTCTCCATCATATTAAGCTGTTTAAGTTTACATTGATGGCCAGGAGTAAATTTTTATCCACACTTAAAACACAAATTATGTGCTCTTCTATACTCTATCAAAGTCTGTTTACTTGGAAAATTGGTTGCTGAATTCTTCTGAATATTTGATGTACCTACAAACTTTTGTGATTGAGAATGTGTGCCCTGATAATTACTCTTAAGCACTGAAATCTTCTTCTTCCCTTCAATTTTCAATGCCAATTCACACAATCTGGCCTTCCTGTAAGCTTCATCCAGACTTTTAGGTTCATGCATCCTCACTCTATGCTTAATTTCCTACTTCAATCCACTCAAAAACATAGATACAAAATATTCTTCTCCCATATGAGAATTGTGTTGTAGCATAAATGGCTTGAGCTCCTCAAACTTCTCTTGATAAGTCTCCAATGTAGATTTCTGCAAAAGCTTACTAAATTCTTCAATCACATTAATGTAGTTCTTGTCACAGAACCTACTATATAAATCCTCCATAAATTCCTACCAACTTACTTGACCTTTCTGCATAATATACCCATCATACCAATTTTCAGCCTTACCTGTCAAATACATTGCTGCTATTTCCATTTTCTGTTCATCAGGAATTACAAAAATTGTAAAATACTTTTGGCATTTTTTGACCCAACTCCTTGGGTTATCACCATCAAACATCTGTAATTCTATCTTAGGTCTTAGGGTAAAGGACTGATTTAGTACACTTTTCTCATACAAATAAGGATCTTTATAGAGTGAAGTACTTCCAGATTGATGATTATTCCCTCCTAAGTTCAATTTCTGGTTTTGTGTTTGGAAAGTAGATGATTTGTAGCCTTCTAGTTTAGGAGCTAATACTCCAAGACCCTTTGGATAAAAAGAATATTTCTCATGCTCATTTATCACTGTCACTTGCGTAGGCTTTTTTCCTTCAGATTTAAGTAAAGATGCAGTAATTACCTGGTCATCCTTTTCAGGAGTATTCTGCTCAGGTTCTTCACTTACTTTAGACTCACAGCTCAATATCTTTTGCAAATATCCTTGGGTCTCATCCATCCTGCTTTCCAGCACCTTCATTCTGTTTTCCCATTCTTCTTTTTGTTCTTCCCACCCTCTAGGAACCCGAACTTCATACTTAGTCTCCTCATTACTACTTGCCATGGCTGCTGATTCCACTTTATCACCCATCTGTTGGATTTTCTTCTGTTTACCCAGCTTGACGTTGGATCTTTGCTAAGCTCTGATTACCAATTGTTATAAACCGTATAGAATTCAAGAAAAGAATTAGGGATTTAGAGAAATTAGAGAATATAGATTTAAGAGAAAATATGATTTTTCATTAAATTTTCCAAAATAGAATCTCCCGATTACATTTGCTCGTTATATTCTTCAGTACAAAAATCTAACAACTTATTATGTACAGCTGGATTTCATAACTGATTGTGGTAACGTGCTTGGTTCCTCTTCAACAGATCAGAACTGGTGGATCATTGCTTGTTGGGCCCTATTCTTCAGTTCCAGCCCGTTCTCTGTGGATATCACCACTCGGGTCTTCTGCTCCAAATGGCTATTCGATTCTTCTGCTCCAGGTAATATCTCATTTCCCCCAAATTTGCCACGATTAATCCCTAGCTTTTCAACAGAAATCCCTAACATTTCCCCTTTTTTCTCCACGCACATAACATGTACTTAATTTCTATATCTAAATCTCTCGAATGCCAAAGAATAATTAGGTCACCTCGAAACCCGTCAGTAGGAACTTCAAGAAGATATAAAACTAAGGGGTTTTCTTCTTTAATCAAATCTAAACAATTCCCATGAAAATTTTGTTTCCAATTCCTCTACAATTCCACGAAATAATCTTCATCGTAACGAATTGTCTGTATGTAAAACTTCTGGTGAAACAGGAGGTGTTCTATATCTTTCTTCTATATTTTGAGTAAACTTCCCTAGACCATAGTGTATCTATTCTGATTTTTTGATCATTCTAAATTCTGATTATTGGCCTTAAATGCCCACTCCATCCATCTGTGTAACTTCATTTTTATCAAAATCCTTTGATGAACCCACTTTGATAGAGTTTGGGTTGTAAGTTTTCCTTTACTAATAATGTTCTTCATTGTATTTCCTATTCTTTTTTTCCTGATTTGAGTCTTCTTCTGTGTGAGTCGTGGGATAGAATTTGGGTCATTTGAAGCTGATTCCCTATGTATACTTCATCTCGCTCCCATTTTGTTATGATCATTCTGGTTTGAGTTGTCCTCTTTCCGTGATTCATTTTCCTCAATTTTACTCAAATAATCCTACTGTTTTGGGGTTTTTTCGGATGTATCTTGTTCATCTGTAGTGTTTCGTTCATCTTCTTCTATCAGAGCCCTAAATCTATTTCCCTCATGATTGTTTATCTTCTGGTTGCATTGATTTTTTTTTTATTTTCACGGTTTATTCTGTACCTTATTTGGACCAGCATCCACGGGCCAAACTTTTCATTCTCGGTTTCTTTCTCCTCATTCTTTGTATTATCTTCATTCTTCTACAGTCTCTTTTATGGGTAGGTTTTTCCTTCGGAACTGCATCTCCAGTCTTTTGATATTATTTTCTCAACTTATCTTGATTCTTTAAAATGCATTGATCAGTTTTGTGTCCCACCACTCCGCAATGGAAACATACTAGATGTATACCCTCATATTTGACATTGAATACATTACTCCCTATCCAAATTTTTGACAGAAGGGGTTTGCTTAGATCAACTTCGACATAAATTCTTGCAAACTTCCCCTTTGTAGTCCATGCTCTCCTGTAGTCAATTTTAATGGGAACATCGATTATTTTACTAATGTTCACCAAGATTCCCTTATCGAAATATTCCATTGGTAAATATGGATATAAACCTAAATAGTTATTGAGGAAATGCTAGCGTTGTTGGAAAAAATTAGGTCTCTATTTCTGAACAGTGAGATAATAATCCATAATCTTCCAGGGACCCTCTGTTAGGACTTCTGTCTATCATTCATATTTTGGAATTTAACCACGTAAAACATGTTGTCGATATCGATACAGTCAAACTCTTCTTCAAGCTTCTATATAGATGTGATTCTACTGATTAATGTTTTGTAGACCACTATCTTTCCAAGAAGTTTAATAATTAGAGCATTTCTATAAGGATTTATGATTTTTGATTAATTTTCGTGGGGATCTTTATTGTTGGAATATCATCCATTATTTCTTCCCCTTCATCTTCAGAATCCTCTTCTTCTTCTTCTAGTCTTTTTGAACTTTGGGATATTTGTAACGCCCCGAATACCAAGTTAGAAGTATTGGGCTAACCTGAGATGGGAATTGGTTTAATTCCTTAACTTGTAGGAAGCCTTGACCCAAATTAATGAGGATTTGGGCTTGAGGTAAGCCCAATAGAGATTAAAAATGGTGTTTTTAGTTTGTAACCAAAATCAGAAGGACCAAAAGAGCAATTGCACCATTAAGGATTCCAAAAGATGAAGACCATTTATGAACAGTGATCTCACATCTGATTTATTTGTCTCCCTTTTTTCTTTATCTTTGTATTCTCTCTCAAACTCCCTCTCTTTTCTTCATATTCTTCCTCAACTCTCTAGGTAAAGGTGAGAGCTTTAGTTCCTTGCAGGTATTTTCTAGCAACATCAAGGTAAGAAATGAATTCAATACTCCCCGGTCTTTCTTTTAAGCTCTCAAACCATTCATTTCACTATAGTTCTTAAAAATGTGTTTTAGAAGAGTTTAAGAAATTAGATGGTTCCAATCCATTTTTCAAATATTTCTAGCCTTAGGAAGTGTTTTAAAACCTTCCTTAACCCCTAACAACAGTTAGTAATCCTTGTAATTGGTTTTGTTTAGTGCAAGAGGTTGGAGAAGGCTCCAAAGTTAGGGGAAGGAAAAACTTACTTTGGGTTGAGCCTTTGATGTTTCCAGCAATTTAGCATCAAAGGTAACTCACTTTTGACTCAACTATACCATGTGTAAGTCATTTAGATGAAATGTAGTAGGTTGCATGATCTTGAAGCACTCCCATGGTAGATTTAATGTTTTAGAGTTAAAATATGTTTAAAACCCTATTTATGCTTCTTGTATTTACATAAAACATTAATAATGTTTGGGAACCTCACTAAGGTCTTTGGGATAGAAGAATATGATTTTTTGCACCTATTTTATGCTCTTTGCAGGTTGAGTTTCGATACTAGAGGGATAGCATCGAAACTTGTTCTTCTCGGGCAAACTCGTAAGGTTGTGGGCAAGAGTATCGATACTTTGGGTCATAGTTTCGAAACTCCCAGAAAGTATCAAAACTATGTGGTATATAATGTTTAAAAGTATCGATATTTGTAGAAAGTATCAAAACTTTTGCAGGAGTATCGATACTCTTGAGCTAGTATTAATACTCTAGTCTATTTTTGACAAAAATGCCAATTTTTAAGGGAATTAGACTCGAGGTATCCTAACACTTCAGTATATCCTCAAATAAGACTTCAAGCGAGAACAATAATTAATATCATAACAGTAGAAACAAAATATAGATAGGTTTACATAAAAGTAGCCTTGTTTGATGCTCGGGAAACAATCAGGACACATGAGTTCCTTTTAACAGAAATACGACAGTTAGTGGATCTAAGTCAGTGCCGCAACACTTCTGCAGCCGACTGGGACCAATGCCCCAAGAATCGGTGGAGTAAGTCGATGGGTGCACATTTCTGATGCAGAATTTCGGATCTCACCCAGGAGTACCCAATGGTGCTTCG